AGGGTGCCGAACTCAGCTAAAGGGTGTGTAAAAACTCAGCTAAAGAGTGTGTAAAAACTCAGCTAAAGAGTGTGCAAACCTCAGCTGAAAGAGTGTGCAAAGTCAGAAGTCGCTCATGAAGGTGCAGCACAAGTTTCTCCCCAGAGGTACGGGGAAATCTAATGTCTCCTATGTTCTCTTGTCTTAGCCTGTGCTGTTGACAGTTTTCACTCGAGGATGAAATGGTATAGCCATAGGCATTCTCTGGTAGCACTAGAATTGCATGGAATTAGACTACAGCAGAATTTAATCCAAATATTTTTACTTGTACTGATTATGGGAAAATTCCCCTACTCTACCTCCATTGATTAACTATGGAAAAAAATCTTTCCTGTAGATGTGCATAAAATGCCTTAGAACTTTGAAAGAGGAACAAGAAAACTTTCAAGGGCAACAGAGAAATCCAGCTTTGAATGTTATGGGGATTTTGAGCATCTTCTCAGCTGCACCGTTACTGCCAGTGGAGCAACTCAAGAGGGATCCCATTTCCCTTAATTTTTATAGGAATCAGATCAAGTCTAACTTTTAAAAAGTATCTTTATTTAAATTAGTGCATTAAATAGATGCATATAAAAATAGCCCAATATAACAGCAATTATTACACCACACAAATCTAAATACAATCTTTAAGCTTGACAGTCTGTGGTAAAGGCTTAACAAAAGATGTTTTTTTCATCCTATCATGCTGCTTCTTATTCTAGTGTTAGAGATATTTAAATGGGAAGATTAGAATGTAGCCCATGCTTTACACTCCTTTTTTTTCCATTTATTTCAGCAACAAACAGTAATGGCAGTGTTAAACAAGGTTATAATAACTTGTTTAATTAAAAACATCACCATTATTTTAGCATTTTAAATAGTCATCTATGCTTTTATAACAGCAACAACTGAGCTATTTGTTGGATCAGTTGGATCAAGTTTCCAGACGACTTCCCATTCTTTTAGATATACACTGGCTCATTTACAGGCACAAAGACAGGACTGGAATGGACAACTGGCTCACCAGACCTACTGGCCATTCATCACAGCATGATGCTTCAGCAGAAGACATGCTCCGTTTCCTCCTCCCAGCATAAGCTGCTCTGTAATGGATTTTTTCAGTGAATTTTCAAAGATGCCGAAAAGATTTGAGATTCAACACTGGAGCCCTTTGAAAGTTCAAGTTCGTTTCCATACAGATGCTCCTCTGTGTCAGAACATGGTGCTCTGCTCTGTGTTGGCATGCATTTCACGTAAGAGTGCAGCAGCAGAAATCAAAATGCCCTCCCATAATTATCCTTTATGCCTTTTTTCATAATCAAGAACAATCAAGATCCTCAGCTAGGGACTACTGTTGAAAGCTATTAAGCTATAGATACTTAAACAAACACTATTTAGGGCTTTAGCCCTACTAGAAGAGAAATCTCACCTTTGGGCAAGTAGACAAAATTTCCCTGGTTTTGTTTTTTTTGGGTTTTTTGTTTGTTTTGTTTTGTTTTAATTAAGCCTCACCAGCAATAAAAAAATATATTCAATAAGATTCTCATGATGAGACTGAAATAAAAGTATCAGTTACCACCCACTTCCCTTCTGAATTGTGTTTCAACTTAAAATCTTTGCACATACAGTTATTTCAAACTTATTATCACCTGACTCGGTATCTTTTCTGTGTGAGAAAGATTTTCATAAGATAATCTACAAAATTCCAGAGAAAGTAATTGCTATAAATGGTTAGGGCTGATAGAGGAAGGAGAACAGACTCATAAAAGGCCACACTGTGCTGATAAACACGCCAAGAAAAATGTATGGTCATTAGACAACATCATGTCCAGCCTTCAGGATTTATTTCCTTCTTTCCAGAAGAAAAAAATAGGTACATGATCTGATCTTAGAACACTGCTTCCAACTTCTTCAAAAATCTATTCAGCTCTCAAGATATGTGACAGAGAGAATACATTTCTTGAATTTGCGTGGTGTAGAACCTAAAAAAGTATGGGTTTGGCTGTAATGTTTGTCATAACATATATTTGAGCAATGCTGTAAGGTATTGCACATTTCTCCCACTGGTATGAGAAGAAGCTGACAGTCATTTTAAAGGAGATTCATCATTTAGAAAAGAGTTATTCTCCCCAAAATAGGAAGGTGCTTCAGCTTCTCCTAGCCACAGAGCAGTATTAGCAGTAATGCTGCTGTTTATGCAGATGATGGCAACAGAGGATCAGAGGGACAAACCTTGAAGCAAGAACCTGAGGTGTTGGCACCTGCAGGAAGACATGTCTGGTCCAAAGAGTGAATGATACCATCCAAATGTATCATGCAAAAGCAGTTCCAGGGCCCTCCCCCTTGGAGCACTCATATAGGGAAAGAGGTAAAAGTTTGGTTCTTCGTCTTCAATAACCAGAGGCTTTCCTGGAAGGAAGAGCCATCAGGGGAGAGTTGATTGAGTCCCACAAGAAGACATGTCATCTTCATGCATGATGTACAAGGAGGTTTACAGCAAAATGTTGTAATGTGTTACAAAAAATTATGTCCCCAAAGCCCGTTTTGACTGAACAGGCAAAACCCACACTGATGGGTGAAAAAATTTCTGAAGCAAAGAATTAGAAGGCACAAGGCTGCAAAAAAAGTCCTGAGCTAACCAAGTTATCTGCCAATTTCCCCTGATTTCTAAGTACATTAAATATATACATGTACATCAGCTACTGTCAGGAACTCATGCTGAAACAGCATGACTGAGTATTTCTAAGGGCCTTCTCCTTGGCACAGACACAGACTTTAATTGCAGAGCTTGAATAAAGAGTAAATGAGCTGTTTAATGTGAAAAAGTAAACCTCCTCATATATAGACAGTGTTCAGCTCTGCCAGTAAGACAGCAAGTATTTGACAGAAAACTGTTCATAGCCTACTTCCATCAGGGGAACAATTTAAGTTATATCTGAATAGGTTATTTCCTGTCATGCTTCCCATTCCCAGACATCTTTGTAAAGTCTGCAAACAGAGATGCCAACATACCCCATTCTGACCTACATAGCAAACAATTGGACTTGTATTCCTGCTGTGTTATCACCAAAATGAATCATTATCATGTCTTCTCAAAGGCCTGGCAAGACAGAGACTTTTCTGCTGGGAAGTGTCAGCTGAATCCTGCACCTACTGCTCTCATGACACTAACTGCATATTTTGCATTTATCGGAGAAAAGAAAAACACCCAGCAGAAAAAGGCTCAGCTCTGAATTTTGCTCTTTGCCAGGACAAACATGGGAACCAGTGAAGCACAGCTCTGAAAGCTCTAGCTTGTTAAACTCCAGGGAAAACAACAACAAAAAAATTTCATCAATCTTTTTTGAAAAACAGAATAAAGATGCTAGATAAAAATGTGCACACACACTCCCCCACACATACATAAATTGCACAAACCTGAGGAATAGAAATAGTCATAGCATTATTGTTCTCTCTTTCTGCATTTGAGAAGAATTTTAAGGGTATGTCCAGCAGTTATGGAGTCAGAAGGAAAAAAAACTTGCTAAGAATGGGGCATGGAGATGACAAACTGCTTTTTGCCTTCTCAGGTTCAGAAATCCCTAGGTTGGCTTGGCAATTAAAGGCCCCCACTGACTTAGGGGAAGTCACCCCTACCAGGAGTGAGCAGCTGGCAGTGGTTAATATTTATAGTTTTCTGCTGCAATGGTAGGTGGGGTCTGAAAAAGTGTACATTTGGACTAGGTGTCTTTGAATCAAGGCTGCATTAACCTATGTGATCTGAAGCTTCTCTCTTACCAGCATTTGGAGCATAAAATCCTATCACTTATGCCTAACTGCCACATACTTGTAACCCTATGCATGTGGGATAAAAGTAAATCAAAACGAATGGAGACACCCGTATTCCCCCTTTATAATTTATAAGGATAAAAGGCATATTTTTTTGCCAGGGTAGGGTTCAGGAACTTTAGATATCTAGCTAGAAAAAATTTCTTCTCTCCCCACTAAGAGATATCTCTCAGAGTTTGTCAGACATCCAAAATGTTATTTCTGCTCTCTTCATTAGAAACCATGTTTTGCAAGTGACAGAGATGTACTCTTCACAGACCACCATTTACTTAAACAAATTATTAATCATAAAGCAATGATGGAAGGCAAGAACTGCTCCATGTCCAACCATGACTCGACAGCATTTGGTTTGACCTTTGTTCTGCTTGGAAAATCTCCAAAATTAAAAATGTCTATTGGGAGAGTTGAAGCTGGCTGACAATGAGCTTTCTCAGGGTTTTGTGTCCTTGCTTCTTTGGTGAGCTCTGTAGACATAGTTCACTGGACACTGGGGCATTCTGAGATCAACTATTCAAAACCACTTCTCTATGAAATGCATCCTCATTTCAGTGGAACAGATCTCTGCTCGCATCTGAGGAAGGAGAGCACCAGATATGATATTCTTCACCTCCTCAAGGACCTCAACAGCACAATGGAACAGCAACTTACTGAACAGATACAGAGGACATATTTTATTTATTATTTATCTCATAGAAGACATATAAAATTAATTACTGCAAAACATTTCAAGGATTGAAAATATTGTCTAGAGTAAAAAGGGGAACTAAAATCATAGGGTAGAAGTGTGAAAGACTGTTGCTAAATGTAAACATTTGCATTTTTAGGATAACTGAAAATTATAATATTCCAGATTCCTAAGTCAATGCAAACCTCCAGTGCAAACCCTCTTAAACATGGGTTTTAGAGCAGAACTGTAATCACCAAGATCTTTAGTGTCTCAACAAAACAGATCATGGTCATTTCAAATGAGACCTTACTTGAAAGCTCAGAAAACAAGTAATTACAGCAAACCCTCTTTCAATTGGTGTCCAAAGAAAATTTTCAAAAAGAAGAATTATGAATCACCCAAAGATCCACAGAACAATTCTATATATTGTATTTTTGAAGTCACAAAATCTCTGAATTTCATTTCATGATGGAGTCAGTAACACTTCTTTTTTTTTACTGCAGTGTCTAAATACTCACCCTCCCATGTACTGGGTACTGTAGTTTCCATTCAGTATGCTCTCCCAAATCCAACCCTTGTCAAAAGTAGTGCACCACTGGGAGGACTACAGAAAATCAAGGCATGAAAACTGGTTCAAAGAGACAAGGCAGTGTTCCTTGTTTATTGCCACATGGTTATATGCATTATTTTCCCCTGTATAACTATTTTTGATAATCTAAGTACTATTTATCTGATTACCTGAAATATGAAGCCTTTGTATATGCTCCCAGTTCTTGCTCTCATCCTGAAAATCTCTAGTAATTGCTCCTAGAGAAGGACTTAAAAAACAAACTTAAGATGGAAATATTCGGAAAGAATTTAAATAATACTGCTTTTCACTCCAGCAATCCAACTTCTAACATATGTACCTTTTCTCTGCAGGAAAACAGTTTTTCCTGTGTCCAACATGAGAAAAGCAATACAGAATTACGGGAATTGTCCCATCCCGTGCAGTCAGCACCACAAATGAGAGGCTATGCCTTAGTAATTTGTGAGGCTTTTACCTCCCCTGTTGGGTTGGGAGGATAATACCTAGAAGACATATTCTGGGAGTTGTTCCATGCAAAAATTCCTGTACAGGGCTGCACTGTTTACATTGACTACAAATCTGTGTGCACAAGAGAGCTCAGCATGGGAACAAAAACCTATCTCTGAAGTCATTCTGTGAAACAAATTGAACACAGTTTTCCCCATAACAACAAGGGAAAACAGAAATAATCTTGAAGGATAAAGCACCTCTCAAAAAATTTGCAGGGAACTTCTGCTTTCTAATACTACAGACTGTGTTAAACAAGTTTCTTAAATGAAAAGACTTCCCAAAAATATATGGTCAACACAGGTGAGGCCCATCAAGTCCAGCTAATTGATCCCTCTATGAGCCATGGGAAATGCAGTATGGAGACTCAATCTACACAAGAAGTGAAGTAGTAAAAAAAAAAAAAAAATTACATTGCAATGTGAGAGCCACATTTTAAAAACTACCTGTTTCTTGAATGCAGCTGTATTCACTATTGCTCCACAAATACTAGGGGCCAAGTGAAATACTATTCTTTACAGATCAGATCAGATGAGATATGATGAAAAGAGAATGAGGAGAGGGAAAAGAAGCAGGGAGGTCCTGCAGAAGAAAGCAAACCAATCCTCTGATTAAAGAAAGTATGAGAAACAGGTCTGCAAAAGCAGTGGATCAAGACTTTCAACTAAGAGGATTTATGGAGAAGGAGATTTTATCTCCAGGCACAGGTTAGCCTCGTATAAATCCTAACCCTTGTTTTAAACAAACTGACCCCAAATTACCCGTGACGTTCAGAAGAATTTTGTACTAGAAGAAAACCTTGGTGGTAATTTCGTGATAAGCAAGGCAAGGCATTTGGAAGAGAGACCTTTCCAATGAACAGGATGATTTCACTTTTAAAAAACTTCCTAATTGTTGATTCATCATATTTTCAAAGCAGCCCAGGCTGGAAATCCTAAACTTGCTGTAGCTGAACTTGGCATGGGCCTTTAACTAGTTTGTTGGCAAAATCATTCCAATAAAGGCTGTTTGTCTACCTTTCCTTTTCCCAAAGGGACAAAATTTTAAGAAAAAACATAGCCTGTCCTGCTAGAGAGCCTAAAAGAAATTAAACTTAGAAACAAATCTGCAAGACCATGCTGTTCTAAGAACACAATTCCTCAATGACCACAGACCCAGCCTGAGCACAGAGCACAGTGAGGCTGCAGCTGAGCCCGACTGCTCTAGACCCAGAGGTGACACAGCACCAGAAATGTGTCAAATCCAAGTGGACAAGCTCTGCCAGGCAGCAGCATCCTGTACCACACTAGTGCAGTTGTGGAAGCAATGAGGTCCTATTGATGCAGCACTGTGCTCTAAGATGATTCCACACCTGCACCAGTATCTCTACGTGGTGGTATGTGCTTTTCTGCAGCTGCACCAGCACAGCTGAGGCTACCTTGGATGCTTCCATCATGCTCCACTACAGCAGCACAAATGTATTTTCTGGGGCTTTTCTGCCAGGACAATATACCAGTCTGGTACTCACAGACTCTTATTTTCCTGCAGAGTCTTTTAGAAATTAATTTTTAGTCAGGATTTGAATGTCATGAGGACTTTGTAATCTGGATTTGCACAGTGTGAATATCAAGGCATTCAGTCAGAAGAATAAGGGAGGACAATGATAACCTCCACTTATGCCATCTTGTGGACATGGATTGAGAAAAAAGGATACAGGGTGACAGGAACAAAAGGGACCTCAAGAATAATAAAAAATTATTAACAAGTACCCACCTCAAATGTACAGATACAAATGTGTGGCAGCCTGGGGAACAAGCAAGAGGAACTAGAGCTCCTTGTGCTGTTACTACAGCACTGTTGGAGTAACAGCTACAATGGGAAGGCTCACATGTGATGGGAGCACTGTGATGGATGGATACGAGTTCCTCTGGAAAGACAGGGAAAGAAGGGGAGACTCAGGGGGCTTCCTACACAAAGGAGCAGCTTGAACATTTGTAATGGATGGCAATCTGATTGAGAGCATTTGTCAGGATCAGAAAAGAAGCCAGGAAGAGTGACAAGGATATGACAGACTGTTAAGCCCAGCCCATCAGGGTGACAGGGAGAGTCGAGCACTGGAACAGGTTGTCTGGAGAGGCTGTGCAGTCTCCATCCTTGGAGATTTCAAGGCCTGACAAGATAAAAGTCCTGGTCTATAATCTAAGAGCTGATACTACTTAAAAAGGCAGCTGGACTAGGTCCAGAGTTCTCTCCCAGCCTGAATTATACTGTGATTCAAAGTCTAAAGAACAGAAACCCAGACAGGAACTGTACTTTGAAATTGAGGAATAGAGCATCTGTTACCAGCCAAGAAGTCTGTTTTGGTGACTGTGTCTTCACCACAAGCATGACACAGAGATGCTCACCCAGCAGTCAGCTGTAGGCCAAGGCTTCAGATTCCCAGGAAGTTACAGAGTAATGATGGAGCAGTGGCAGTTGCAGCAGAACCTATGACTGCAACACTTGTGAGCATCAATGTCTAGGAAAATAAAAATCTCTGGCAATAAATGTTAACTTGAAGTTAATGTCTTGAAGTGTTTTTTCTCAGGGCATGGAACTTCTGAATGTTTTCAGTTTCCCTAACCACTCAAGAGCCAGGAAATGTGAGACTGCACTAAAAAGTATTCCCGGCAAGGGAAAGGGGCAGAGGGGCAAAAATGTGTTTAATTCACTCATGTTCCTTACACGTGACCTCCCTAACAGCCTCACCATACAATACAGTATATCACCACCAAGTTTGAGAAGTAACTAAAACTTTCTGCCTCACTCTCACAGAGACATTGTTTACATGCTTTTGGACCATATGAATGAGCTCTCAAATGCAGACCATAATCATAGTCCTTTCTTGACAAATATCCAACCCTTGTTTTCACTGACAGAACCGTATTTGTTTTTTCTAACTATCTTCAAGACTGCAGCCCCTAGGAAATTATATTCACATAATCTCTCTTGATTTGACAAATATACTCCCTCAAATCTCGGTTCTCTTGTCTGGTTCTCTTCCCACAGGTGGCTTCAGTTCCTCTAGCATCACCCAGCTCTTCTCCCAGACACAGCTCATGCTCTAGGGAAGCTCATGGTCGGCCCTCCATCTCCATCCTCCTCTATGAAAGTTGCCCACTGGGCTTATTGGCATCAGCAATGAGAGCTGATCCTCAAAGCCTCAAGGTTTCAGTCAGCAGCTCCCCGGTCTCCAGCCCCCTGGACTTGCAGACATCTGAAAAAATCACCTGTGCATTCCATTGCTACAACACTGCTTTTGGCTTCTTTCACCTCTTTTCAAAAATTGGCCTGCAGCCATGACAAGGGTTCAGAACCATTCCCAAAAGGGACATGCAGTCTAAACAGAAAACTGATGCTGAAAGGCACTGCATGTACAGTAATGGTGTTCTACCCTGCCTTTTAAGGAATACTAAGCAGCTTGAACATCTATTACTATTTACAAATGAAGCTTGTGCTTCAGCATGCCTCAACCATATAACCAGAATATAAAATGTATTATTTGTCTACAAGTGTCCTGTATCTACGTGTCAAAATTCATATAAAATCTTTCCTACCTATGTCAGTGGACCACTGTGAATATAGCACATGTGGGTAGTCACTGCTTCTCTCCCTGGTAACCCATTTTCTTATTATTGCACCCTTACCCATCTGGTTTATCTAGAAAAAAGAAAACTCACAACAACTTGAGTACTCCCCTAATCTCTAAAACGCTTCAAAGTCTGTTGCTGGGTAAACAGCAGAAAATGTACCTCTAGGTCCTGTAAAGATTAAGGCAGGCTCCTTACAGCATTGTGCCAAGCTTGTTTTCAAAGGCTTTCGGTTAGCACCGATAAAAAGTTACAATAAACTGCATATCAGCCTTCAAAAAAGAAGTTCTGATATCAAAATTTAGAAAGTTTCAAATTCAAGGCTTAATCTTGAAGAAGTTAATATGAGAATCAATTTCAGCAATTGAGATAATGACTACGTGAGTCATTATTCGAGAAAACATTTATTAATCAGAAACAAGATATATTTGAGTATTATTTTAAACTCTGAATAAACTAATATGGAATTGATCTGAAGGTCTAACCCTTTAGTCTGTCAACTGCTGGAAAATACTTTCCTTGTCCATTTTTTACCAGTACTTTGGAAGTATGCATTACTGCCTATTACAGTATTTTCAATGAATAATACATGAGGGAAAAGACTTTAGACTACACAATTAGAAGGGAAGTCTACAAAAAATCATATACCACTGCAACATGAAAGAATCTAAAAATATTGAAATTGAAACAGTAATCATGTTGCAGTTGTATGATAATTTGAACAAAGTAATTTCATTTACAGAATTTCTGTTAAGAATAAAGACAACAATCTGTGGAGTTATCACCGTTGCCATTTAGTTATAATCCATGAGTGGCTCTCAAACTGGACAGGTGAAATACTCACAAATGTACTTGTAAAGTCTGATGTTTGCCTGCTGTCCATTTCTCTTTTTGTTTTCTTTCCTTCCTTCCTTCCCTCCCCTTTCCCTCTTCTTCTGAAAACACTCCTTTTTGTGGCAGATGGACAGAGGCAGAACACTCAATGTTTTAAGTCAATGAAAAGCACTGACTCTGCTGGCCCAACTGATCTGGAAGGGAGACAGTCACCACTCTGCTGAGTACGTGAAAACCAAGGCAAGACTGGGAACAGGACTCCAGCATGATACATGATTTTCTATGGATCTCTGCATGGGACAGATCCCTCTGCAGGAAGGCTTTGGTGTCACTTAGTAGGCAGCAACTTTGAATAGAGTGATGAAGCAAGAAGAGCATACAAGAGCCCCTGCCTGAACCTGAAATACAGGTTTAAAATGAAGCTGAAGGCAAAATGAGAAACATTATACAAATGTGGGCGGGGACCAGTCCTATGGGTACAGAAAACAAAAGAGAGCTGACTAAATAAATTTGAAATCAGGTGGTAAATACAAGAGCAAACCCACTTTTCCAATACAAAACAGTTGCACTACCCTTGGAGAGCAATGCTTTAGGAAACTGCAAACCCTACTATCTAATTCCATTCTCTTTATTTTGTCTTGACACTATCTACATGAATGGAAAACAATAGCAAAAATAGATGCATGCACTTCAGTTTTACTGGCTTTCAGTACATGACTGGATTGGAAGCAATAGTTCCAACACATTCATCTTCTTTCAAACTGTGGTTTCACTGAAAGGTGGCTGTTTCTTGAGCTTTTACTTAGCATATAATTTGTATGTTAGTCAACAGAATTCCCAAAGGCTCTTTCCCATGCTGCTCCTGTCAGTCTGAAGGCTATTTCCAAAATGCACCGGTAAAACTTGCATTTGAATATTCTTCATTCATAAAACAGATGGAAAAGTGAAGAGCAAGGAGGAGAAAAATGTACAGAAAGGAGACCTGTACAAAAAGAATCACAATGAAAAACAGAGATAATTTGACTCTCCATTCCCCATAACAGAAATATTAAAAGTTATGTTCTTCGGACTGCATGTCACATACAATTCCTAAAACAGAATATTAGCTACTGTGCTGAAAGTCATTTTCCCACTGCTTTTTGTTGGCTATTTGCATTATTTAACTTTAAAGAGTCCAAGAGGCTTCTGATTGTTTCACTTCCTATTCCTTTCATCCTATTCTTCATCTTGCTGGAATTACTTTTTCCAAATGGTATCAGCAGTGCTGCCAGTCCCCAAGGTTCTTTACTGATTATTCTCTGAGCTTTATCTTCCTTCTGTAAAATCCAGGCACTTTCTCTGGCCATAGCTATGAATTTCTCCAGCTGTGGTTGATTAACATTCTTGCTGATATTAAGGTCTTGTTCAAAGGGATTCCAGATATAAAGAGGAGATGACTCAGGTTTATTTACTTCCTTTCCCTGCAGACAGTGTAAAGAAAAAGCAGAAGTTGCATATATGTACTATAGGCTGAGCAAATAACAAATCACTTGACTTATTACATGAGCATTAAAAGTGTTTTGACTTACTAGAGAACTTTTTGCAAAATACCCAGTCGTTATTAATCAAGTTAATTTTCCTGTCCACCTGACTGTTGAATGATTCCTGTTCTCTGAATCCTCTTAGTGGTGGTTTTCCTTGCCACATTCAGCTTAGATTTCCTTCAAGGCAAAGAACACGCAACTACAGCTTAACCTGTCTTTTTGGCCATTCTCCCATTTGCTTTTCAACAAACCTCAGACCTCACCCATTGCAAACCCCTTCTCCTATCTCTGTGTATGGGCAGCATGAGTGTGTCATATGAACCTGTGTAGCCCAGTTTGATAAACTATTGCAGGCACTTGAACTGTTCAAACCATTCATCCCACAGTACTCAGAGAGCTCACAGAGCTACTGTAACTAAACAAGATTACTGCCTTGGCTGAAATCCCTCCCAGTTCGGTCTGTCTTTTAAGCACAGAGCTATTGAGGTCATGGTTTACTTTTGGTCAGTTGGTATTGTACAACACATGTAGTTGACAACTGTGTAGGTTTGCTATTTAAATGCACTTCCATCTCAGTGCTTATCAGTGCTACTTAGCTGACCTGTTCGGTATTCCAGAACCTCTTCAAGCCTTCTATCACAAGCTCTAGAAGGAACCCACCAGCTACTCCTGGTCCAGGAAGTGTCTATGTACGTGTTACATACTCTTGTCCCAGGACCAAGAGGACAGACTAGTTAAACGGAAAAAAATCAGCAGCACAGACACCTCCCTTAACTAGCCCAGGCTCCAAACTCATGGTTTTGCTTGTCTTTTTAAGGCTTAGTGGCAAACAGAAGTTCTCCACCTTAATGAATCAATTTCTAAGATCAACCTACAACTGCAAAAAGAGCTCTGGTGCCAGTGACCCACAGTGCCCGACAGGAAACAGGACCCAAACGGGTGTCCACACAGCAACATGGCACCAGAACCCCTACCCTGTCAGCAGCCCAGCAGGAACAGATGTGAGTTAGGGTAGCTATATTTTCATGTATTTCTATTATACTTGCACGCACACACACACGGATCAATAAATAGAATGACTTAAACATATAAAGCAAAGTGAAGTGAATAGCACAGAATAATCATGCTGTGCCCTGCTTACTGAGCTGTACATACAGTTACCGTAGGCTGATACAAACTGCGGTGGAAAGCCAAAGTGCCAAAAGCAAACTCAGAACTCAGCTGCAAATTTTAATGCAGACTCTCACTGGGTCTGGACTCCCAGTTTTAAGTGCAAAGCCTGTTGGCATACAGGGTTTGTCACAGACTTTTGCTATGACATACATCATGACATTTTAAAAGTTTTCCTCTCACAGAAGCAAAATAGCTTTGACTTTTTCAAATTGCCACTTTCATTACAGGGCTTTCAAGTAAAATCATACAGGTTTAACATGATTTTGTGCTTTCCAACATATCCAGGTAATGATACTGTAGATGTTCTTAATGGTATGTAAGTTATTAGGCTCCGAGAGGAAAACACTCTTCCTTCAAAGAAAGAACTCAGTTTCTGGATAAATGTACTTTTTATATACAATGAAAAATGACAGAAATTGTTGCTTAATATATGTAGTTTATCAAGTGGCAGGTGGTGAGATTCAATTGATAATGATGAGCAATAAAAATTCGTTTACCTTTCGAAGATTTATGGAATTCCTTCTGAAATCAAAGTTTCCAAAATATTCAAAAAACTCACCCAACAATACATCTAAGGGAAAGAAAAACAAGGGCCATGAGTAACATTAAGGGAAAGTTTATTTTCAATATGCTCATTTAAAAAAAAAATTGATGGAGATTTACCTACCAAGTGTTTCTGTATTTTTTGTAGGTTTAATCTTCCTTAAATCACTAACAAATGAGCAATCATATCCTCCAATTATATGCTTGTCTTTTGCACCTGAAAAAAAAAATGGGCACATTTTGACACAATAAACAACAAAATGCCATTGTATTTAATGAAATTCAGATAACAGACATGACTGAAATCAATGAATGCTACTATATTACAAAAATTAGGAGTTCACAAGTGAACTTTTAGGTTAAAGATTCAACTTAAAGTGGTAAAAGATTTAAAAGAAAAAAGTCTACAGACAGGCAAAGGAAAAGAATCATGAGCAAATGGCACATTTTCAAAAGCCTACAGGAATAAGGTATCTGACATCTTTGTATCTCTGAAATTACTTCTTTTAAGTTACAAAGCTGGTATCTGCATACAGGGCTGTATTATACACTAAACAGTACAACTCTCTGAGGTTAATACCTACATGAGAGTTGCAAAAAAATCAGACCCAGAGCATCCACTGCCTTTTTCTGAAAAACTTCAGGGAATTAGGAATATTGTTGTAAAATCTCAGAAGAGGTATTTTACGTATAAAAAATTCTATAGAATTCTGATGCAAATGTTTAAAATTATTTTAAAGCAACTGAACACAGACCTCTTTCTCCACTGAAAGCACTCAAAGCTTCCAAGGAAGTATGTCAGTAAGCAGAAGGCATGAATGAAGAATTAAGAACTTGAGGTGTCATTCTCTGTGCTTTCATAAGATTCTCTGAAGATAATCAACCCTGAAAGCTGTGTCTGAAACAGCCAGAACAGCCGGTTTGCGAAGATACAAGAATTATTTGCAGATGGCCTGAACAACCTCAAGGATATTACAAATTGTGACGAGAAGATACAGCCTTTCTTTTAAACATTTGTTATCTATAAAACAATACACATCATATCAATCTGCACAAAATCCTTAACTTCAGAGACATTTGAGACCCTACAAGTCTTCTAAAAAATAAAATACAAAATAAACAAAAAATTCAGCACAGGAGCACTGAACAAATAAATTACTTTTAATTATCTGAAGCACAGAGTAAGTCTAACCCTTCTATACAGAATTTACCATTGTACTGAAAATGGATTTATTTTGCATTTAAGAATGCGTTATTTTCACAAAAAATACAAGTAAAACTTGTGTATTCCCTCAAACTTAAGGAACACATAATATCCATTAGTATTTGAGAGCATAAAGAAATGGCTTGGGTTTATTTATCACTTTAGAGAAAACAAAGATGAAATAAACAATAAAGTGCAATAAACAGAGGAACAGCTGTCCTTACCTGCCAGTTCTTTAAGTTGGTCTAGTGTTGGAATGATAGGTGGTGATCTCTTTTGCAGAAAAAACATGACCATCATGGTCAGAGAGAAGTTGGTAATCCAGGTGCCAGGAGCACTATTTGTAAGTCCATGAACACGGGCCCAACACCGTATAGTGAACACCAGTGCTCGTACACGGGAATCCAGACAGCCATAGATATACAAGAGTTCTGAACTTCTGATAGCAATGCTGAAGAAGAAATGAAAAGTAAAAGACATGTAAATGACCAGAGAATTGTGACGTATCAGATGCAATGTTCATTGTTAATTATAAGAAGGTATCCATTAAAAAAAAAAAAAAGTAACATTTATGCATTTTAGAAAATAGAAAAAGAATCATAGAATTGTAGAATGGTTTGGGCTGGAATGCTTGAAATTGTCCAGGATGAAATACATGTACTTTTCCACAGTAAGAAAAATATGGTTTTGGGTAAATAATAATACTGCATTTGCACTGTTTCCTCTTTCCTTGTTCCACATCACAGTAGAAGAAAAAAACCAAAACCAAAAAAAACACCATCAAGTACTCAGGAGTCAAGCTATGAAGAATCGAGGTGAAAAAACATAATTCAGCCACAACTGCCTTAAAGGTACATTAGATAATATCTCTATCCTACTATATAATAAAATACTTCTTTTACAACTTTCACCTAAAGAGTAATAAAATGCTGCTCTGAAAAATTCATTGAGTATCTGCAAACCAAGTCAATTTTGTAATTTTCAAATGATTACTTGTTTTTTTCAGCAGGACCAAACAGTAATCTGGAAGGATAAAGGTTTTCAGATGGGTCAGGTTTTGATCTGCTTCATCACATTGTTATACAAACATTCTTGTAGTGTACAAATGGGAGGGCAAGAAAAAGTAGGAAAAAAATGGAAGTACAGTGTTAGAGTAAAACTTATTTTGGTTCAGTTTTAGCCTGAAGTGCTCATTAAACTGTAGTTGCAGATTTTACTCCAAAACTTGTGCTGTATTCTTCTAAAAATTCAGCATGGCCTTTTGGAGATGTTTGCTAGGTCAAAATTTTGTAACACCCGGACTTCTGAAATGTCAACCGTGAGGTGCCTTATGGTGTCCACAGAGGTTTGTTATTACTCCAAGCGACGAGAAGACAAGATGCACAGCCCCAACCAGCCAAACCAGCCAGCAGTGAATTACAAGGATGCTTGCACAGAACTGCATCCCAACTTTCACTGTGGCTGCATATAGAAAAGTAACTTTACTGCAAGACATTTGTTCAATCTTGCCTTAATAACCTCTGCACATTCTGAAGCAGAACTTTGGGTAATTCAGGACAGTTTCCACGCTTTGCTGTCACCGAACGGGCGCGGAGGGAGCGGAGCCGTGAGGGGCATTTCCAGGCAGCCCGCGCCCCCTGGCGGCACCGCAAGAAGACCACAGACACCCTTTCCAGGGATCTTCCCAGAAAACAGGTGAATGCAGGCCCTTAGGAAGAAGGAAAGGCCCTATTTCCTATGCTAGAGAAAGATAACTTAACCACAGCAAAACCTGAGCTCTAGGAGTTAAAAAATACTCTTTTTAATTTCAGAGCCAACATTCTCATTTGTTAAGAACACAGAAAGGAGCAGACTCAAACAGTTGTCGTTACAGGTTTTCAGAACATTTCAGGTACTTTGGAATTCTTTCTAAACTTTTTGAAACCAGGTCTCACCTATTGCTCACTGACAGATCACACTGGAATCCTGTCGGCTGATGGGAAAATTTCACCAGAGGACAGCGAGCGTTGAGTATCTTCTGTACACTCACACATCCAGGACCAAAATTATCAAGGCAATCACCAATCACAGAAAGAATCCTCTGAGTCGCTAATCTTTCAGATGGTAATCTTTTCATCTGAAACTCCATTTCAAAGGGACCTTTTTTCTAACACAGAATTTTAAAAGCAATCTGTTAACTCGAGAACAAAAGAGACATTTAAAAATACTTCTGAAAGACTACAACAATTTACAAAGGAGCTTGTACAACTAGAGATTGAAAGACAAGAATTATTCAAAGCAAAATCCACAGAACTTAAAATAGGTAAAAACATATTGCTCTCTCTTTTATATTCTTTTTCAGTGATTAAATTCTTCCAGGCTAATAGTGATGAACTTACTGTAAAGTTACTTATTCAAATGAAGGTACTACTATGTATCACTATTGGCTAAAACAAGTAATTCTGGAATTCCCAAGACAGCATATATGCTCCAACTGCAAAAGAGGAGCATACAATTAAAGAGGGGTAGAACGTAACCAAAATACCATTAATTTCAAGTCACTAGTAATTCCATTTCAAATCCTCAGAGAACACCGAGTTGTTAGTGAATCAACCAGCAATGCAAACGAAAATGTCTTTTTCATTAAAAATGTAAAAAAATTTAGCATGTAAATTACTTAATCCTTCAAAATTAAGATAAGCCTCTGTAAGACTTGAAATAATCACATCATATAGTTTTTCTGACAAAAATATTGTGAAGGTATATTCTAACAACATCAGAAATTAATTGTCCTGTAGGTCTTTGTAGTCTGATTTGCCATATTTGTGGTTTTTACCTCAATAAAATAACTTCATACTTATGAAATATCTGTTTTCTTCATAGTCTCTCTGTGTTTTTAAGCCTCAGATAATTTTGTTTGCTAATCCAATACTTGACACTGACTTATCCTCCCCCTTGGGACATGTCATGGGTGAACGCATGCTATGCAAACAGCATTACAGTGACCTAACTCATCAGCGGAGACACAGAGGTTATTTTTCTTGTCACCAGATTGGTGCAGAGAAAAAGTGCACTCATAGTTGGGTGAAACAATTCAGAAGTTATGGACCTTGCAGCCTTTCCAACAAACTCACTTTAGGTGCTGAATTTCTGAGTGGCTCTGGCAATCACCAAGGTGACTGTTCCTGCTCTCCTCCCGCCAACAGCTCTCCAGTCAGCACGTGTGCTGGAACATGTGAGGACAGAGGTCCCTAATCCCCTCTGGCTGTGTAGCTGCATGCTACAGTAGGACTGGCTCAAAGTGAAAGGAGCCTGTAACTATTCAGCATTGAGGTAGGTAACAGAAAGAAAAAGATAGTAACTTGGCCAATCACTTTGCTTCCTGTTGGTCTTGTAACCCTCAGGTTCTCGAGGTAGTGGTGCAAATTCTGTACTTTGGTCAACAAATTCAAGTGACTGTATTTCAACTTCAAGCCTCTGCACTTGCTTAGTAATCCCTGCTTGTCTTGATGCTTACTGTTGTATTATCAATGAGGCATTCAAGTAATTAGTAAGTATGTTACAGAAAGTATCTGACTATTGATCTGTCTCAGTTCCTGTTTGGTCCTGGGCCCCAAAACATCTACAGTTCACATATTCCAGCTTATCCTCAAGCTCCTCCACAGTGAAAATCAGATGCTTTTAATATGGTAATTTTCTCAGGACAGACAACAAAAATACGAACATTTGTGTCACCTGTAACTACTCACCAGCACTATCCCAGGTTCTAAACCTTCACACCTCCACACACTCTTATTGTGTGTGTGTATATATATATATATATACATATATATACGCACCTCAGTACATAACCCAGTAACTTTCCTGGAGCATAAAGTCAACTCTTTCAGCTAAGGAAAAGAACCTGACAACCCTCTCAAAATGCACATGCTCACACATGCACAAACTTACTATGCTTTAGAACATGGAGGACCTTAAAAATCAAATCCAAGCTTTAACAGAGCATGGATATGAGACCCAGCAGCTCCAGAGAAGAAAATGCAATAGTAGAATGAGAAGGTCTGACTCTGCTGAATCAATTTTGGAGGATGAGGGTTTCTTTCAAAGTGAAATTCACCCTAACAGTACAAAGTTTATATAAACACCAAATCATTTTCTTCCTATTGCAAGAAAGATCTCTTTCATGTCACATTCAGCTTTTGAAAGTCTCGAAGTCCAAACATTCAAATTAACTTGTTCACAATCTATAGTATGAACTCATGTAAAATCTGAATATAAATAAACTGATTCCCGTATGTGAATGAGCTGCTCTGTTGAAGAAATCCAATAAACTGAAGATGCACAGCATAATCTTACCATTTTTGTAGGACTCTTTTGTGTATCATGGAAGTCCAGAAACATGTCCACATCGCATCCCAGTTTGCCAAAGGTGTTGACTGAAGAGCCAAATGGCTTTACTGTGCTGTCTGGAAAATATGCCCGTGCAAAATCCCGAACCAAAGAACAGGCCAGAAATCGGAGCCTGATATTTTCTTCTGTAAGCTGATACTCATTCAGTAGAATGTACATCTGACTGCTTATCTAGTTCAGAAAATAAAAACTGTAAACATACAATAACCGGTCTTCTATCTATTAACATATATTTTCATCCACTTAATATCACTGCTATTAGGAGATTATTTATTAAAATTTTGAACAGGTTTCTTTCATACGGAAAAATTATGTTCACAATTAAAAAGACTAATTTAATTGATTTGTTTCAATGTAGGAGAAACAGTCAGATAAAATTCTAATACGGGTTACTTTTTTTTTACTAGAAATAAATTGCTTTTTAAGTTTCACATGACCACTTGAAAATCTGAAATGAAGATGGTTCATTTTTAATTGAGAGAGACCTAGAAACCTCTACTTACATTGTCTGCAAGACAAAGCTTTTGAATAAGGCCTGTCACTGGAATGTGACACTGAGGAGAGAGATGAAGTGGTGTCTCTTCAGCAGGTTGACTCACTGGGTTTTTCAGCGTGAAAGTAAAAAGTCTTGATTTAAATGGGACAACATGATGCTCTGCAGCATTTGGGATTCCAACAGCATCCTGCAACGAGGCTATACTGCTCTTTTCTGAAAACTCTACTAAAGCATTGATGCCCTAAAACATTAAGAATGCGAATACAGGATTAGATAAATGCGTACAAGCCTTGAACTCATTGTACTGATATTATTCAGATGTTCCTGGGAGTACTGAGACAGTTTAATATGCCAGCCCTGAAATTGAATACAAGATTCTGTACCTCAACATGTTTTAGACAATTCTACAAGAGGTTAAAAATATTTATGATGGTAGTAAACACTAAACATAAAGTTCTGAAATCTACTTATCTTCACAACTGAAATGCTCAAAACACATAAAAAATAGTTATCTCTATTGTTTGAACAAAGAACAGTGCAACATCAAAGTTTCAAAGATTTACTGCAAAACAGGTTGCTGGCTACCCCTCAGAGGTGTTGCTTAGATGACTTCTGAATAAAAATCTGCTGCTGAGCAACTTGTAAACATTAGCACAGATAAAAACTGATTAAATATATAATTATATATAATTTGCTTAACTTGCATGTATGAGGATATAACCAAATGCCGGTATTTCTTTTTATCTGAGTCTAGATTTTAGTTCACATTGTTAATTACTTACACGATTTTCAAAGAAGAAGTGACTTCTAACATTTCCATGACTGGATAAATACTGCAATAACTTTTTTTCATTAAGTTTTGATGGGCACTTAATTAAAACAGTCCGTTCAGCTTGATCCAGTCGTTCTGTTTGGACCTCAGTGAATGTCTTCTTTCTGGTATTGACTTCAGCATCTGTAAGAAGAAATGAGCATCAGGGTTCTTCTACATAAACAGAAAGATGTAAAACTGATTTTTAGTACACTTAATCTCTTCCTCTGGATTGAACAACTGAATAAATGTTTGTGCTGGTTCTCCAACATGGCACAAAAGAGAAAACCATGAAGAAATAATAAAAGACTGAAATGTGTGTTTGTGTCACAAATGCATAGATTTGTAATAATAAGGAGTAGGAAATGTAGGAAGAAAGCAATACTGACTTCCCTTGATGCCATGGGAAGCTTGATGATACAAGGAGTCTTTGTTCTTTAATTTGCTGTTCACCACCAAAAAACTTAGCACACACATAAGAGCCTGGAACTGTCAGCTAGGCTATGAGGCAGACCTTTGGCAAGCTGCACTAAAAACATAACCTCTCTCTGCTACCACAAAACCAGTACTTTTACCTTCGGAACATTTCAACACTTGCTATTTTTACAACTCAGCACCTTCCTTTACAGTAAACTCCTACTCAAAATTTTCATTTAATAATACACTTTCATCTGCTCCACTACAATAAACCCACAGATCAGTTGTATCTCACCACACTACTGGCAACCTGTACTGTTGCTGACAGCCTACAGAATCTACATGGAATCAAGAATACTGAACATCCAGAAACATGGAAACTTTTTTCCTCATTGCATACAGGTAAGGGGGCCATGTTCCAAATCCAAAATTATAATCACTTCCCTGCATAACTCTCAAACTAATCCATTGACCACATCACATCAGCAGAGTCTGTGAAGCTGCTACCTATTAATATTGACATTCGGATTGGGAAGCTGGGGAGCATTTCCCAGCACTATCTGCCACAGGAAGATTCAACAGAGAGCTCCTTATTCCATGTTTTTGATATTGAGGAACCCATGTGATATAGCTGCTTCATGAAAATCTTAACTATCATGAAATTATACTTGTTAGTATTACTTTTATTTTTTAAAAAAAATCTTTTATTTTGTAAGTCTATTGAGCTCTCATGGAGGCTAGTAAATAGTCACCAAAGTAGTTGTTTCAATGGCTTAGTTTTTTATACCATTTTTCATCAGAAGACCAATGAAATGCTTTTTGAAGATGACACATAGCCTCGTTTCCACAGGAGCAGAGAAGGGTGAAGTAACCAAGATGCAGAAAGCACAAGTGCATTGGATGAGTTGCATGATCAGAAGGTAAAGCCAGATATTCTCACTCTCACAGCCCTCTGCATTAGGCCAGAATGGTTGTGATTCTTGCCTGATTTACTGCCTGTACACACTTAGTTACTACAGCAGATGTGCTCTGACATCTTCTGGCTCTGTCTTTTGCACAGTCTGAACATGGCACAAATTCACATGTTCACATCCAAATGGTGGTTGTAAGCATTTCAAATGCATGACAGGTAGTCCACTTTGCTTTCTTCCCCTGTTCCACAAAACATTTCCAGTTAGTACCAGAGTTTCACAGTCGTTTTAAAGATGCATACACCAGCACTGCTCCTAAAAGAAACAACCCCATCCTTCATATGCTGCTCTCTGCATGCTGATGCTAATGCAAGCATTTACACAGCCATGCAGCAAAATAAATGAGACTAATGATCAAAGTTATGCAGCAAAACAAGAATGATTAACTGTAATCTGGAGTTGTGTCTTAATCCACTTTGCTGCACATCTGCAAGTACAAGGATATAAACAGCAAAAGACTGTTGGCTTTGAGAAGCTGTGATAATACTGCCTCGTCGTCTCCTCTCTTCAAGAAATGCTTGCTACCTCACGTTTTCAAGCTGTGAAACATGAAGACGAGCACAGGCCTCAGGCTCACACCAACATGAACTGCTACAGCACAGCAGCGATGGACACTCCTCACCAGTTCTTGGCTTGCACCAAAGACACGGCGTCAGTCACGCCTTTCCTATGCCTTTCAGAGGGGGTCTCCCAGGACAACCTCTGTCTCCTGATTTACCCCTCGCTGAGGTAAATAAACCGAGCCCCGGGCACTGACAGCGGACTCTGTCCCTCGGGCTGCACCCGAGAAGGCCGGTCTGCCCGGGCCCTGAGAGCTCCTCCCGCCCGGGACACCGGCACTGCCCCGGCGCCTTTCTCGGGGCCGAGTGGGACAGGCGGGACAGGAGGCCGCTCCCGTCCCCACGCGCCCCGGCAGCGCCCGCCATGCTTCCCGGCCCCGCACGGCCCCGAGGCCCGCGGCAGCCCCTCCGTACCTTCGGCCGGCTCCTCGGCAGCGGGCTGGGCGGCGGCGGCGCCGGAGGGGCCGAGCCGGGCGTGCCCGCGGCCGCCGGGCCCGGGGAGGCGCAGGCGTCGCCGCAGCAGCCACAGCGCCATGGCCCGCACGGCCGCGCCGCTCTGCGCAGGCGCCGCTTTCCACGGCGGCCGCCGAGGCTCAGCCCGGTTCCGTCGGGCGCGGAGCGGCCCCGCGGGCTGGGCCGGCCCTGTGGCGCCGGCGGCCGGGGGAGGGATTTTGCTGCGGCTGGTGCTGCTGGTGCCCGAGGCGTGTAGAGCTCTGACGGCAGGGAGCAGACTTACGCAGCCAGCCCCAGGGTGCGGACAGCTGCCTGCTGCACGCACAGGGAACAAACTGAGCTGTCGGCAGTGTGACCTGGCAGCCAGGAGGGCCAACCGTGTCCTGGGGGGGCATCGACAGCCTGTTCAGGTGGGGGATTGTCCCGCTTTGCTTTGCACTGGTGCGGCCTCACCTTGAACATTGTGTGCAGTTTTGGGCACCACAGTATAAAAAATACATTAAGCTATTAGAGAACGTCCTAAGGAGGGTAACAAGGACGGTGAAGGCGTGGAGATGAAGCCGTATGAGGAGCGGCTGAGGGCACTTGGTCTGTTCAGCTGAAGAGACTGAGGGGAGACCTCACTGCAGTTACAACTTCCTCGTGAGGGGTGAAGAGGGGCAGACACTGATCTCTTGTCTGTGGTGACCGCTGACAGAACCCAAGGGAGTGGCATGAACCTGTGTCAGGAGAGAATTAAGGTTGGATAGTAGGAAAACATTCTCCACCCAGAGGGTGGTTGGGCACTGGAACAGGCTCCCCAGGGAAGTGGTCACAGGACCAAGCCTGACAGAGTTGAAGAAGTGTTTGGACAATGCTCTCAGGCTCGTGGTGTGATTCTTGGGGCTGTCGTGTGCAGGACCAGGAGATGGACTTCCGTGATCCTTGTGAGTTCCTTCCAATTCAAGATACTCTGTGAGCTTCCCAAGCCAGGCCCGAGGTGTGGGCTGTGGGCAGCTGCCTGACCTGTGTGAAGAAGCAGCCACAGCCCAGCCCAGGGCCGGCTTTGACCCCTTGCATGAGCCCCACCAGCCAAGGGCAGGAGGGTGAGAGTGGGCGTGGAGGTGAACCCAAAGGGTCGCATGGCCAAGGTGATGGAGACCTAATGTAGGTTTTGGCAGACTGGCTACTTGAAAAGGGGATGTAAACCATTTGGTCTGTACCAGGAATAGTGTGGCCAGCAGGACTAGGGAAGTGATTCTCCATCAGTACTTGGCACTGGTGAGGCCACACCTCAAGTACTGTGTCCAGTTCTGGGCCCCTCAATTCAGGAAGGACACTGAGATGTTGGAGTGAGTCTAGAGAAGGGCAACAAAGCTGGGGAAGGGTATAGAGCCCAGATCCATTGAGGAGTGGCTGAGGGAGCTGGGGGTATTTAGCCTAAAGAGGAGGCTCAGGGGTGACCTTATCACACTCTATAGCCACCTGAAAGGAGGTTGGAGCCAGGTGGAGGTCAGCCTTTTCTCCCAGGCAACTAGCAACAGGATGACAGGATATAGTCTTAAGAGCCAGAGGAGGTTTAGATTGGACATTAGGAGGAATTTATTCACAGAAAGGGTGATTAGACATTGGAACAGGCTACCCAGAGAGGGAATGGAGTCACTGTCCCTGGAGGTGTTTAAGGAAAGACTGGACGTGGCACTCAGTGTTCAGTGTGCTGGTTTAAAGGTAAACCAGCAGGGGAAATGAACTCAACTCAAAAGAGAGATTATAAGTCAGAATAACAATTTAATAAAATAACAAAATAAGTACAATTATACAGACAAACAATTGGTTTTAACCTACAAAACCCAAATATATAACCCAGCACCCTGGGGCATGAACAGAGTGGTGTTCTTTGGGCCCCCCTGAGTCCAAAGTAAAAGGAGAGGGAAAAACCTGTTGGTGAGAGTGCTGTTGCAGTCCAGTCGAGAGCAGTGATCTGCAGTCTGGCTGAGAGCGGTGGCCTGCAGTCCTCCTCTCGATCCCACAAGTGGTGAAAAGGTTCTGAAACTCCAAGTTTATATATTCTCCAGTTCAGGCAGGAATGCTCAGTCCTTCTCTCAGAGCGGGGAATTCCATAAAAGGGTATGAGGAATGCTCAGTCCTTCCCTCAGAGCGAGGAATTCCATAAAAGGGTATGAGGACAGGAACATCTTCCTATTTCGCAGGCCTCTACTGATAACAGTTTCTGTGAAATGGCATGGAAGGCTATAGAATACACAGGTTTGGGCTACACCCATCCAGTGATGAATCGGTCCCAGCTGTTCTAACTAGGACATTCAGTCATAGGTCGGTCTTGATGATCTCAGAGGTCTTTTCCAACTTAATTGATTCTGTGATTCTGTTTGTCTAGTCCCATGCTGTGGGATCAAAAATGCAGTGGTTGGGGCAGAGAGCTGCAGGGTGCCCAGCAACTAGTTATTGGCCTGCAGCATGGTTCCCCTGGTATAGACTGAAGAAAAAGTCATTTTCTTTAATATTTAAAACCAGGCATTTGTATAAAATGTGTAGGCACATCTGTATTGTATGTTAGGGACCGTGTGGCTACTTTGTGTGTTAGTAGGTCTTCACTGTAGAGCTCTATATACTCTTGGTAGCCTCCTAGTAAGTCAGGGTCTGTAAATAATTGCTGTGCTCTAATGATCTTGGGTTTGTATCCCAGGATGATCATTAAGACAGAGTAGATTGACCTAAAATACAGCCATTCAATTTATATCCTACATATGCATACCATGGAGCAGAAACTTGTGTTTCCTCCCTCTCTCTCTGGCGAGTTTCCTCTGGAATCCTATGACTTGTCCTGCCTAAATTCATTGATGTGGAAAGAGAAACTCCTCCTCTTTCCCCCTTTGAAGTTGATCTAAAAAAAGAAAATGGTTTCATTAAAATTAATTGTAGGTTTGGGGAAACTAATAGCACAAGCAAGTTCTTGAAAGAGGATACCTCAAGTACCGTAGCGTGAGAGGTGCTGCACGTTAAGGATGTGTTACTCAGCCTCCTTAACCTCCCACTTTCAAGGTGCTGCCAATTCCACCCTTTCCCTGGCCTGGCCTCTCCTATAGCTTAACTTCTTCCTCAGTTCCCTTAATTTTCTTCCTCAGTTCCCTTAATTTTCTTCCTCTCTTTTGTCTTTCTTTAATAATCTTCAGCTTTCTTACCTTTTTCTCACAGACATTTTTTAGCAGATGCACTGGGTTGAACAAAGTCAAACTCAACAAACAACGCACATATTTCTTTGTGGAGGCTTGTCAATGTATTTATCATCTGTATAGTCTGGAGAAGACACTGTGTGTGAGCAAAGGTTAACCCTGCTAGCAGTGTTCCACATACATAATTATGATGCTAAGGAAAAGGAAGTCCTGTAGTGAGTCCAAGTCCCTGCACATTTCAGAATGTCATTTGTGACATACTTTGGACCATTTTGAACAACATAGGAGAGGTAGCAAACATAAAACCTTTAAACAAGGGAGTCAGTGTGTCTGGATCATATAAACAGAAAAATATTTGTATGAACTAGTAAACACTGAAGCCTAAGGTGAATGTTTGTCCTGAAACTTTATAATGAAAGTTTTGCCACTGACTTCAGTAAGCAGATAATCATTACACTGCAGATAATAAACAGAACATGCATCTTGTCTCTTGACACCTTGAGACAAGTTCAACTCATCAGCTCCTAATGCTGTGGCAGCTGGTTTTCGTAATGGTGCTACTTGTCTCTTTAAAAACAAACTGACTGAAGAGGAGCTACTGGGCAGCACAGTTCTGCAATACTTAACTGCCTTTTGGATGAGGAATAAAAAGTAGTCCTGCCCAACTTTAGCAATTGCCAAATTCACACTACCGTGTCCTGCAGTGTTTTAATCCTACTGCCAGTAACAAATTCTTGAAATTGTTGTCCTAAATTCCACCCGAGTGTCAGCT